CGTGTTGGATAAAACTCGGTGTAATTAAGTCAACTCTACCCTCCAAGCGAGAAACATTAACTTGTGTCAATTGATAATTCTTCTTCTTCTTTTCTTCTTATTCTTCTTCTTCTTCTTCTTCTTCTTCTTCTTCTTCTTCTTCTTCTTCTTCTTCTTCTTCTTCTTCTTCTTCTTCTTCTTCTTTTCGGCGGAAAGTTCTGGTTGTTTATCCACATCTGAACTTGAGGTTTGCATGCACAAACTTTTTTTTTTCAACAGATCTGACTTATTTGTATGGAGACTTTGGTTCCTTGTCTGTCAGGCTGATGCCCTCTGACTTTGAAGGAAACCCCCAGTTATTCGACTCTTACGACATGCATGTTGGGATGGCAGTGGGTTTTTCCTTGTTTTCCCCACAATGGGGTCCCGGAATTCTCACGTGGAGTCTGTATAAGAAGAAACTCCACAGGGGAGCATGTACAGCAGGAGTCTACCAATCATCAGTAGAAGTAATCTCTCGTCGACGAATGTTTCGGCCCACGAGCTCCTAGACATTTTCAGAGAGTGGGCCCACCTGAGTTCATGAGACTCAGGGTTGATTTTCTCCTGCTGCACGTATTACTAGATTTTATCGGAAAGGGTCAAGACGAATTGGTGACTTTGCAATAGGTACTGTGAGATACTAAGTCGTTGCGGTAGCATAATTAGAGCAGTCAGCTTACCTGAACGACCAAGTGGCAAGCTTACGTTTGGTTTACCAGACACATGTTGGACTTTGTTGGCAGGTGGCAGAGGGACACTGGCAGACAATTCGGACACGATTGACTTTAAGGGATAAGACATTCTTTTCCACTAGACACCCGGACCAGCTCACCGAGGCCGTCCCCCACGTCGTTCCGTTGTGCCCAGAGCCAGCTCGAGGTCCTCTCAGCAACCTCGCCCAGTTGTTTTAGTGCTCGTTTGCGTTCATTGTAACATTGTACATTGAAGTGGAAACGAGACCTCTTGCGCCTACCTCGACGGCGAAGACTGTGTACGCTTCATCTCTCCTCAGACCTGTACTCCTCAGACCTGTAGTATTCAAGCAGGCTTGTTCAGTGTGTGTGAATGTGTCTGACGCAAGAACACAGTGTAGATCCTATTCTGCTTTGTACACCCACAACTGTTTACAACACGTCTTGTGACCCCGATTCTAAATTCGCGTAGCTGTGTAGCTTGACAACCATTGTTGTATAGTTAGTTGCATATCCTTTACAGGACGTTACAGAACCAACCTCAACAGCCCCTGGCTGTTGTGTGGTTTTTCTAGGTAAATGTACGTCCAGTAGTTTGCCATTGATTCCTGGACGGTCGGCTTTCTTGATACCAGTCAAAACCAACGCAGGGCGCATGGTCCACAGCTGGGATCGAACCCGGCATCCCGTGTTGTATAGTAGATGTTAAAAATCACCAAGAATAATTAAGGTTTTGTTGAAATCGGACATGTTGTGCTGAAAGGCGCGCTTATCGCATCCTAGCTGTGAACCACACCGCATAGTGTCAACCGATTTTAAAGGCCACTGCAAAGGAATAAATATTTATGATGAATATTGTATGTAACCGATGCAGCACACGCCTTTGCCTGCCAAGACAGGTTCAGATCTCGGCAAAATCATGAAATATTTTGTCCGATGATCTTATACTTCCGGTTAGTTTCGAGGCTTACATTTTTGGTAGTTACTTTCTTCGCGGTCAGCCTCTGCCTTTTTTCACCCAAAAGCTGCATCTTCCATCCTCGTTTTCTCTAAGCCTCCTTGATTAAAGTAGATAAGGAATTTAAGAAAAGAGAATAAGAAGGTAAGAAAAACAAATAGTTTAGTCCACCATGACGCTATACCTGACCAAAATACCTTAGCTTTCTAGTTTATAAGCGGATTTTGCTTGGTTTAATGTATTCTAAGAATTTGTCTGTAGTATTTCAGTTCAAAAGCTGCTGAATATGTGTTTTTTTTTCTTTCAAAAAGATGCATGATCTCACAATGTTTACTGTAACTCGGTTGGTTGCTGGTGCTTAACCATGGGTTATAAATATTGAAATCGCAATAAAAAGAACGTGATTTAAAAAAAATTCCTTTTCTTCTTTTTCTTCTTCTTCGCGTTCACCAGCTGTAAACTCTGGCGGAAAGTTCTGGTTGTTCATCTACTTATGGACTGCAGTCCTGTTCAAGAACCTGAGTGTTGCGTGTGCATCCGTTTTACAGATCTGACTTATGTGTGTATGCAGACTGCTGGTTCCTTGCCTCTAAGGCAGATACACTTAGACTTCGAAGGAAGCTCCCAATTAGTCGACTCTTACGACATGCTTTTAGGTAGGCAGTGGGTCTATTCTTGTTTTCCCTACAATAGGACTCCGGAACACACACGGTGATTTTCAAACATCATATGCGAGACCACTTATTTTTTTTCCTGCGGACCACCAAATGGGAAGACTGGCTTAGTTGATGTTTGAAACGGTGACTATAGACAACTTTATAAACCAACCTCGCCTGATGTATGCAGACCTTTGTCATTTCTGAGACGACTCGAATGCTGATACAGACGAACTTTATGAGGCGTGTTGCACCTTGCTGTTGCCGAAAGACAAATCACAGCATTAGGAATAAATGTGTATTAATGTGATACGGCAAGAGATCTGGCTTATTTGTTCAGACTGTTGGTTCGCCGCCTCTCAGGAAGCTGCACTTAAGACTTTAAAGGAAACGCTCCTATCTAGTTGCCTCCTGCGACAAGCTTTTAAGGGACAATGGGTTTAACCCCCCCCCCCCCTTCCCCCAAAGCCCCAGAACCCACACAGGGATGCTTGTTCTTTCTGCATGTAGACTAAATTCTTTGTCTTCATCTTCTTCCTATTCCTCCTCCTCATCCTCTTCATCCCTTTCTCCCCCTCCTTTTGCGTCCTCTTTTACCGCTTCAGGTGTCAAGGGAGATAATATGTCTGAGAATACATTTATATGCGAAATTCTTAACATATTTCTCCCATTAGAATTTAAAACAACTGTTGCACAAAACAGAGTTCCAGTTCACAGAGTTGTACACTTGCTGAATACATCAGTCTAAGTTAGATTGCTAATAGGTTGAAATAGAGTCTTGGCTGCAGATGCAACTTCCTGTCCAGTCTATATCACATGCACTCTACAGCTGATAGTCAGAATATATCCCCACTCACCTGCACATTTCAGCTGTTAGTCAAAATCTATCCTTACTTACCTGCACATTTCAGCTAATAGTCAAAATCTATTTCCACTCACCTGCACATGTCAGCTGATAGTCAAAATCTATTTCCACTCACCTGCACATTTCAGCTGATAGTCAAAATCTATTTCCATTCACCTGCACATGTCAGCTGATAGTCAAAATCTATTTCCACTCACCTGCACATTTCAGCTGATAGTCAAAATCTATTTCCACTCACCTGCACATGTCAGCTGATAGTCAAAATCTATTTCCACTCACCTGCACATGTCAGCTGATAGTCAAAATCTATTTCCATTCACCTGCACATGTCAGCTGATAGTCAAAATCTATCCTCACTCACCTGCACATGTCAGCTGATAGTCAAAATCTATTTCCACTCACCTGCACATGTCAGCTGATAGTCAAAATCTATTTCCACTCACTTGCACATGTCAGCTGATAGTCAAAATCTATTTCCACTCACCTGCACATTTCATCTGATAGTCAAAATCTTATTTCCACTCACCTGCACATGTCAGCTGATAGTCAAAATCTATTTCCACCCACCTGCACATGTCAGCTGATTGTCAAAATCTATCCTCCCTTACCTGCACATGTCAGCTGATAGTCAAAATCTGTTTGCACTCACCTGCACATTTTAGAAGATGATAATTGCTGGCGATACCCCAGCTTCTGTGAATCTTCCAAGTCATATTGGGCTAATAAGCTGCAGTCAGTTGTGCTTCTTGTTTCAAATGTGTCCATTATTTATGGCTGTATATTTATAACCTTATACACCACGCAACCCCAACACGTCAGTTAAACCGTCTTTTCTACCTATAGTACCACTTTTTATTGTGGGGAAGGGGCGGAATCTAGAACGCCAGGATTTAGAGTTGGGGTTGTTTGTTTGTTTTTTAAAGACAGACTGTCCTTCCACAAAGTTACCGAGGTTTCGAATCCGGATCTGCCGCATGTTGATTGGTCGGAAGACAGTCTATCTTTCTGACTCTCTTCTACCGCATACACTTTGTTCCATTATCTTATGATATTCTGTCCGATTTTGTTCTGTAGCGCAGGTCTCTTCGATCTAAATGTTTATATTACACCAAGGTTCGTCTTTTTGTTTGCTATCTGGAGGAGTCAGAAGAATGTAGACGAGGATGATGGCTGTGATGATAGTGGTAGTGGTGATGATGTTGTTTTCTTTCTTTCTTGTGGCATGCGCCTCACTCGTGCTCCTGTGATGCTGAGTAAAAACGTGTTTAAGTGTTTAAACGGGAGTCCCCGTGGCGTAGCGGCGTCCCCGTGGCGTAGCGGCATCCCCGTGGCGTAGCGGCGTCCCCGTGGCGTAGCGGCGTCCCCGTGGCGTAGCGGCATCCCCGTGGCGTAGCGGCGTCCCCGTGGAGCGGCGTCGCCGTCGCGTAGCGGCGTTCCCGTGGCGTAGCGGCGTCGTGGAAGGTAGTGGATTCGCTCCCTAGCGGAGCCGGCCTTTTTTTCCTTCAAAACTTGAGTTGGTACCGGGTGCAGTCCCGGGAAGTCAAGGCATGATGCTGATCACATGCTGTAAAAATAAAGGTCTAGCCCTATACGCCTAAAAGCGTGGGAAAGGCACCAATACTTTTTTAAGTGTTTAAACTAATCTCCTGATATATATATATATATATATATATATATATATATATATATATATATATATATATATATATATATATATATACACACACACACAAGCACACACTACCATTTGTGTGTAGACAGCATGCATAATGAAACAAGTCTAAATCACAGTGTTTTAACTCTGGCAGGTGGCCATCAAATACATCAAGAAGACAAAGATAGAAGACGAAAACGACCTGATCCGGATTAGAAGAGAAATCCAGATTCTGTCCAGCCTCAGACACAAGCACATCGTGAACATTCGAGAAGGTAAATCTACTAACTTATTGATTCCAATACCTGAAGTCCCTAATGTGGGTTCCGGGGCCCTATTGTGGGGAAAACAAGATAGTGAATATTCGAACCTGGATCTCCTGCATGAGAGCCTGGAGCTCTTGACCATTAGGCCAGTCGGTCTAAAAAAAAAAGCTCGTCTTTTTGTTCTTCTTCTCTTTTACCATTTACCTCGGCGATGTTTGTGCGCTTGTTCTAATGCATTGTACAAATTGGTGTTCATTTATCTGTAGGAGATCAATCTGATAGAACATAGTTATTTCTATACACCTCATATCTCTCATTCGTCTCGCTGTCTTTCTCTCTCTGTCTTCCTCTGTGTATGTCTCTCATTCTCTCTCTGTCTCTCTATGCCATTATCTCTCATTCTCTCTTTGTCTTTCTCTCTCTGTCTTCCTCTGTGTATGTCTCATTCTCTCTCTGTCTCTCTATGTCATTATCTCTCATTCTCTCTTTGTCTCTCTATCTCTCATTTTCTCTGTCTCTCATCTCTCTCATTCTCTCCATCTCTCTCTCTTTTCTCTCCATATCTCTCTCATTCTCTCTATTTGTCGCTCTCTCTTCTGCCTAGTTTCTAAAAAGCGTAATGTAAAATTTATGTTATATATATATATATATATATATATATATATATATATATATATATATATATATATATATATATATATATATATAGTCGGTCATCATCATCATGTGCCCTGCGAACTGGCGAAGATGCTCATGCGTCTCCACAGATCACGATCCCTGGTTGCCTGGAACAGCTCTCTTGATGATATCCCTCCATGCCATCGTTTCAGCCCATCCAACATCATCTCTCTTGGTCTGCCTCTACCCCTTTTCCCACTGATCTTCCCAGTTGTCACGATGTCCTCAAATGTCTCTCTTCTCATTATGTGGCCAAAGAGCAGTGTTTGTTTTTTTCCTATTGTTAAATATAGATATCTACTTCCTGTCACATTTCTTAATCCCCTAACCCAGCCTCTTGTATCAGCCATTATGTTTAATCCCCTAGTCAGATATTAACTACACACTTATCTCCAGTGTAATCGATATCAGACTACACTAACATACACACACGAACCAGCCTTCACTGTGACCGGAGGATCAAACATGCGGAGATTTATAACTCAGACAGTAAACCTAGCACAGCTGCCCTGGCTTACCAGGCACAATCAGATCATTGGTGAATGGATATCGGGAACATGGCTTTGATAACGGCGTACTTATCAGTCGAAAGTCCCAGTGTTTGTTGGTTGACTTTATGTTGTTACGTCTGATTGCGTCAATGTTAGTGTATACACGGGGCGGTCAAGAGAGACCAGATGTGACAAGTTGGTTAGTGTGTGCTTATCAACCCAGTAGTAACAGTTCAGTACCCACTTGGGGGTAGTAGTGGAAGCCACGATAGAGCAGTGGGTAGATGTTCGAATGCCAGCCCGGGGGTCTTGAGTTGAAATCCGACTCGAGACTGAACACCCCTCACAAATGAATTTTGGCTATCATCTTCGGGTGGGTTCTGGGGTCCTGTTGGTGGGTTGTGGGGGGGGGGGGGGAAAGGATCTACTGTCCCCTAACAAGGATGCCATAAAAGGTTAATATTTTGAGGTGTTTCTATCGAAATCGGCAAGAAACTAACGGACTGCAAACAAATGTTGAAAGTTGAATTAAGAATCGACAACACAGCACTCGGTACACCCCCATATGCGCTCCGTACCTATCTTCAGCAGCAAGCGAAGAGTTCAAATTCCGATGGCACCAGTAACTGTCTGATTGTATATAGTCTCGCCTTTTCCCGGAGTCTTGAACGCCGGCCATATTCCCATGTAACTCCTTGCAGATCCATTCTCCCCAGACCGTAATGATCTATCTGTGCCTCTGCACTGTTCAATCGCTTCCAAAGAGCCATCACAACATCCAGCTTGTCATACATCAGTTCACCACCAAGCGGGGCAGAAACGGCCAGTCTGTCTGCCTGCTGATTTACCAGTACACCGGCATAACCTGGAGAAAATAACCAAAAGATGCTAACTCCCTGGGACAACTGAAGTTATGCTTGTCACTCTGCACGGAGCATGCCTGTCTCTACCTTTCTCAACATGCTTTGCGAGTCAGTTACAATCACTGCATGTGTGTACAGCTGATTCTCAAAGCAGCGAAAGGAAGCAGTAAATGCCTCCACCTCCATTCTCAAACTAGACGTTGTGATATCATATACCAGGCTTTGCTGCACCAAGCGGCGTCTATTCTCTTTTGATATAAACCCCCATGCACTTCGTCTGCCCATAAACAGAGAGCCACCTGTATAGATAATCACACACATCACCTAGGCGGGAATTGTTATGAATCGTCTGTTGAACTTCTGATTCTGCAGCACTATCTGGCAAGTCCCTGCACTCACGACTCAAAGTTGTAAGAACCCTACACAAGTTTGAAACTTTCTCGGGCACTTTGACCCGCTTCTCTCCTTGCTCAAATTTATCGAGCCTGCACAGATCAAATTATGTCTTCAGCTTGCGCAATCCAAGACCTTTCTCTTTTCGGTCTGTGACCCTTAGCTGTACCCAGAGCTTCATGCAGGTGGAGCTTCTTGTCCGCGGCTACTCTGAGATATGACTTTGCTTTTAGAACTTTGAGCCTATCAACAATAGTAGACAAATGAATATCTACATCTGGAAAAAGTATGTGCACGCAAAACAAATATTGTGACAAGACCAAAGTCCAGAACAACAAAAAAGTTTCCGCTGGAGTTTACAGCCGATGAACGCGGAGAAGATAACGTCAGGAAATGACAGGCGACAGAAAGTAAATTAGACACTCTACCTCAATAAGTCATGGCATGTTACGTATGAAAAGCTAACACTGTAAACAACTTTGATAGTATCTACCATGGGATTACCATAATATATTAGAAGGCGGGCTTTGTTTGGAGAAGCGTGATTTTCTGGTGTTGCATACACAGACCGTTTTATTGAGAAATGACACTTGGCTCAACCATGACCGTCTACAACTTTTTATAGCTAAAGCCCGGCTGTGGCCCAACAGGTCGCAGCATTCTAATAAACCAAGTTTGCTTTTATGTTTTTATTATACAGTGCTACGTCGTGGTTTTGTTTGTCTCCAGCTAGTCTCATTCTGGGGTCGATCCGGAATTGTGAATCATTTATCAATAATTTGGGGCAGTAAGCACAGACGACGGTATAGTGACCATATTGCGGCGTATTTTTCTCAACTTTAGCAGTAAGGGACGTAGATAATATAAAATGGCCAGCATACTTTCATCGTCACAGTATGCCTATCTTTCAGGTCCATCCCTCAGTGAAAAGGTGACGGGAACTATTCTCGAGTAGCTTGTGGACCAACCTTCGTTGTCATAATGTGCCCACATTCCAGGTCCACCCCTTAGTGAAAGCGTGTCATAATGTACCCACTTTTCAGATCCACCCTTCAGTAAAAAGGTGATGGAAACTGATCTTGAGTAGCTTGTGCCCTCAACCTTCATTGCGCATTCTGCTAGATTACATTCTGGTCATACCCTGATGCTGTCCGCCAGTTCACGTTATCCCCCCAGTCGTACTCTGTGTTGTCATTCCATGTTCTTCTTTGCCCTTCTCTTCTTCGAATACCTCGCCAAAGATTTGAAACACAGATGCCTTTTTTAATCGTGTCGTAGTTTTCAGTGGATGACATCGTTGAATGTTACCTAATAGTATGTAGACGTGGTTATTAGTCCATGCCCTTCTTATTTTAGTAATGGCATAGCCATTAAATGCTTAACATGTCTTGATTTTCCCCAAAATTACATTATCCACAGGGCTGTATCTTTTGCCATAATGTTAGTGTTGACAGTGTGACTGACTCTGGTCTGCTCTCATGGATATGTTTTCACGAATGTTGCTTAATGCAATGGACATTGATGATAATTTTGTTTTCTTCAAATATTGTTCTTCAGTGTGAGATAGTAACCTAAATTGCTCATTCTCCTTCGCTGCTGTTGGATCCCATCCCCGCCCCCTTTTTTTTCCTCTCCATTTTTCCCCATAAAAGACAGAGAATACCATTTAAAACTTTAAAGTGTTCTTACGCTCATTTGCCTATTTGACGAGCGAATGCTTTCTTGGTGGTGTAACTGATTTTCGGACTAGAATCTGATCGGTCTATAGACTATGCAGATTAGCAGAGATTTGAGACACATTGCCTTACTCACAGCAGCACATGGGAAGCGCTACCAAACCACGCACGTCGTATACACGCGTGTGCTGCAACAACTACCTACATCAGTGTTTCCCAAAACCTTCTTAGTCGCGGTGCCTTTTTTTCAGTAACAGTTGTTCCACGGCGTCCTAACCTAAGTACAAGTATGACTATTCGTATGCGAGAGATTTAAAAAAAAAAAGATTAAAACTCGTGTATCTTCGAATATTTCTCGGCGCCGCTGTGAAGAGGTCACGGCTCCTAGGGGCGCCGCGGCGCGCAGTTTGGGAACCACTGACCTACGTAATTACAGCATTCGCACTGAACACAGCCGACATCTGTCCTTTTCTGTAGGGTGCTCTGCTGTTTCCGAGTTTCCAAGTAGTGGAGGGATGTTGTATATATACAGTTGTTGCTTGTGCAACGTTAGCCTATTGAATTTGAAATGTAAAGAAACTAATTTCATCCTTACAACCTCCCCCTTAACTACATCCTGTTTTTAGCCCGCTTGTGTCAGAGGTGACAATCACAGCTGAGTCATCGTGTAGTTGTGAATGCACTTGTGTTATGTCAGATGAAGACGTCACACAGCAGTAGAAATGTTTATTCGCTTCACTGCGATGAGATGTAGAGTGTGCCAGTGGTCGGGACTCCGGTCGCGCCACTTCGACTTGGGACCAACTTAAGTCACCTAATTATAAAACAACATAACCCTTAACCCGTTAGGGTCATGGGGGGGGGGGGGGGGGGGGGTGTATTGATCGAAACACTAGCTCACAAAACTT